GAACCAGTGACAGATTATATTGATTGATATAGACCCCCCTTGCTTCACCCGCTCTTGTGCAGCTTCCAGTCCTCGATCAGCTGCTTCCCAGTACAACTTCAACGCCTTTGTGAGATCCTTTGCCACCCCAATCCCAAATTCGTGACACCTTGCCAAATTGTATCGCCCATAGCCGTCCCCTCCACTAGCAGATGATTGATACAATTCAATAGCTTTTCACAAGTCCTTCTTCACGCCCGTTCCAGTTTCGAAACAGTTTCGCAAATTGTTGTGCGCGTTTGGTAACCCTTGATCAGCCGCCTCGTGGTACCAGAAGGCGGCTCTCTTGCCATCAACCTTAGTTCCAACCCTCTCGTCATAAAACGAACCCAGTGTATTTTGCGCAGGTGCGTATCCCTTCTCCGCCGTTTACTCGAACGCTTCCGAAAGATTTTGAGAAACCCCAATCCCTTTGCTAAAGCAATATCCCAAGTTTCGCATGCCGACAACGTTTTCCACCTCTGCGGCGTTCCGATACCACTCAAAACCAGACTTAGGGTCCTGATTAACGCCGAATCCCACCTCATACGCCGAACCCACCTCAGATTGTGATCTGGGTGACCTTGCTCTGCCGCCAACAAGAAAAATCCAAACGCCTTCTTCCCGTCTTTGTCCACGCCGTGCCCATGACGATAGCACTTTCCCAAATTCAGACATGCGTTCATCTCCCCAACTTCCGCTGCCCTCCGGTACCAATAAACCGCCTTCTTCATATCTTGCTCCACACCTATCCCAGCGTAATAGAACCTGCCCACCTTGTTTTGCGCTAAAGCCATGCCTTGCAGGGCAGCCTTTTTAGCCAACGAAGTGGCTTCCCGTTATCTTTGCTCACTCCTTTCCCAATCTCGTACCAGCACACCAAATCGTATTGCGCCTGTGAATGACCCTGATCCGCCGCCCTCCGACACCATGTGGCAGCCAACATCATATCTTCCTGGATCCCTTTTCCCTAATCGTAGCACACACTCATAGTGTATTGAGCAGCGGAGTCCCCTTCCTTGGCCAATAAAAACAGCTGCTCAAAGCTCTGCTCTCGCATCTTTCTCCATGTTAGGTCGGGCGAGGGCAAACTGACAGAGACTGAATCCGGTTTCGAAATGATTTGAGGCTTCTTGACCTGGTCTGTCGATTGGGTGGAGCCTGAAGATGCATTGTCGAGAACCGGAAGCACTTCCTCAGGAAGGCTATCTGATTCCTGATTCGAGATGTCGGAAAGCGGATCAGTGGATTTATGGTCAGGGGATGTTGCGAGATTGCCTCCGACACGGATAGAAGACTCGATTCTGAGGCAGGCGGAGTCACTGGCATGGGAGCCTCAGGGGGTGTTGTTGGCGGGGGGGAGATTGCAACGGTGGATCCGGCAGGTGGGATAGTTCGACCGGAAGTGGGTGGAGTGGTAGGTCTGTAGGCGGGTGGAGATGTTGGATGGGCTCTAGATGCAACAATTGGTTCGGGTTCAATTGGGGTAATGGGTGGAGATGTGAATGGATTGATTGGTTTTGGTTGAGGAGCTGATGCGCCAACCTGCCAATGGCTAGCTGGGTCGACTGGGTCAGGAGAAGGAAGGTTATCTGGTTGAGAAGTGGGTAGTGTGGGTGATCGAGGAACATTGGAAACGGTCGGCAGAGAAACGGCTGATTCGGAAGCAGTTGAGTTGAATATATCTGTAAGTTTGGATGAAACCGAATCTGTTGCGAATTTTGATATTGAGATTTTGACTGTTCAACAAATTATCGATATATGACAAAAGAATGGGACTCACCGCAGATCCATCAAATCGGGCATCCGACAGTACTGTTTGAAAGGTTTGCGCTGCGCAGTGTGATCTCTTCATGATCACTAACATTTGTTTCAGTGGATCCTGGCATGGGCTCAGAAAGTTTGGCTCTGTATCGTATCTACACTGGAACAGTCAAAAGACGCTCCCACTGACTCGAGAGGGCTGACGGGCAGAACACACCTTTGACCGACCAAAGTTGACACTGCTGACCACCGACATCCTCGATGATAACCGAACGCTGTGTCTGCCACTTGCTACGCTCTGTACGTCCCATTCTGTGAAGTTGGTATGAATGCTATGCAGCGTTTGCACCAACAGGCCCGGTCGATACTTTGTTTCAAACAAGCGTCCCGTATAACAACGAGTGGGGCTGGTGTATGGCCTTGACAGATGTCTTCCAAAATCTTCCCAAAGGCATAAATGTCTCCGCTGAAAGTGGAAGTACTGCTTTCAGGCGGTGCATAACCGGGCGTATGGACACCGGTCGGTACAGGAGGGATGTGGTGGAAGCGGCACCTAGACGCAAAAGTTGAAGATGTTTTTCCCCAAAATTTAGGTACACCATACTTACCGCCAACATCAGCAATTTGCGTGCGTCCGTGTTCATCGAGCAGAATGTTGCCACCTTTGAGGTCTCGATGGACCAGCTGAGAGTTATGTAGATAATCCTGAACGCAGATAGTGAGGACATGATTAAAGGAAGGAAGCAACCTCCAACCGGATTTCATATAGACTAACCAGCCCCAACGCTATATCACGCAGCAAGGTCATCCTATTGCGCCATGTCATCGGTGCGTACGCGGAAGCTATCAACTTGCTCGCCAGTGATTTGGTCGCAGGATCCATAACAACACACGCCTTTTGATCCTTCACACAAAACCCTCGGACACCGATTGTATGGGGTGACGGATGCAGTTTGTACAAGATAGCAACCTCGCGACGAGCCTCCTCCGCCAAGATGTGAAGTCGCTGATCATCTGTCAAGTCGGGCTCTCCTAATTTGGGTGCCATCCCCTTGATCACTTGCTTGACGGCAACGCGTTCTCCCTGATATATTCCCTCGAAAACGCGAGCAAACCCTCCGCCCCCAAGAGGACGATCATACAACACCGTCAATTGCTCAGCATTGAGTTCCGGTAGCATGCTGCGAACCAATTCGGCTTGAACTTTATTGAGATCCGCGTGTGCGAACAACTTCAGGTGGTGAGCGTTCTTCTGCATCGCGGCATAGTCCCTCTCCGCCAAGTGAGCCAAAGGATCTGAGTCTGCATGTGGTGGTATATCAAATTGACTCTCTCACTCATGCAGTTCCTCATGTAGATCGATATGATGAAGCAGCCACCCAGTGTTGTTTGCGAAGTGCACTAGTTGCTCCAGAGCAACCGCCATATCCACATCTACATCGGCCTGATCTTCGTGGAGGAGGGCCCAGAGGCGCTCGAAGCGTTTCCGATGGAGAAGTGGTGATGGATGATTGACTGCGTTGCAGATCCGCCCCAAGATTTGAGACACCGAACCAGTACTGGTTTCTTGTGTAGCATGTTTGACTTTTGCGAGAAAATTGTCATCACCACTGTTTTGACACTTTTAGTCATGGGAGATGGTGCCCATATATCTTTCTTATCATGGAAAAGCAGGAAAAGCAGTCCTGGCTATATAGAGTGGCTTCAACACACCTTGCCATATCACAATTTTGAGCCAATAAGTGATGTTATAGACGTTTGACACGGAGTGAGCAAGTGAAAAGGGAGGGGAGAGGGGCGAAAGGTGGAAAACAGTCAACAAAGGGTTCCTATGTATCTAATTGAAAGACCCGGCGCCCAGATCATGGGCGACGCAAAAATTCCTAAACCCGATAAAAGTTGCGAACGCGCTGAGAAATTCTCATTCAGATTCATAAGCGGATATTTTGGCTGCCGTCCAACGTTTGCCCACCCGGAGTATGACCAGGAGGAAGCGCCCACAAGCTGCCAATCCATCTCTGATAAGGTCTAGACTTTGCTTGATGTCTCCACGGAAGAAAATCCGCTCTTTGCGGGTTTGTGGAACGTGTCATGCAGAGATCGGCAAAGCTCAGATAGTGAAGCCTACCACCCGCCTAAAAGGCATAAGAACGGCAAAGACCGTTATGTAACGACCCTTGGCTTAGTTCCATCAGCATCCCACCATTGCGGAGTTGGGAGTCCATCCATCCAGCCTGAGGGGGCGGGGCTTCGCATAGCGTGGAATTGAAGATGGATAGGTAAGGATTTGAGACTCGAACGGGTACCGTGGTTTCCGCCGTGACGTCCTTCGTCCGGAACAAAGCCGACGGAACCTGCACTCTCGCATAAAGAATATACCGCATCTTGGATTACGTTCGTTTGTTGAAGTCTTTGTGGAGGAAGTGCGTGCTGGTGTGGAAGGGTATGGTGCCGGTGGATTGTAGGGTGAATGTGAAGGGGAGGATGATGGACTTGTTTGGTGGTATGGGGGTCTAAGCGACTCCGCCCGCGCGCAACGACGGTCTCCTCCATTTCGTGCTGCTGCTTCGGGGAGGGACAAGATATACGAAGTACGACGAAATAGTTCGTGCTTCTCTTCATGCTTTTCGCGTCGGACCTTGATGCAGCTGGACATTACGATACGCAGTGTAACATGGGCAGAACACACATTTTTGTATTTTATATGTTTCGGGGATGTGGGTTCGTTCCGTATTCTGATGAGACCGCTGATCCGGAAATCCGGTGTGTTGGGAACGCCGAACGTGAAGGAAGTCTTTCCGTCTAATGGGTTGGAAATAGGCGACCATGGGCATGGTTGACGAGTGTATTGGTCTAGTGCGTGCTGGATTGCAATTTGAAGGGCAAAGAAAGGTTTTCGGCTTTTCTCGCTGTCAACCTTGCCTTGGCGAACCGACATCAAATTGTTCCAAACCCGAATCGCGACGCCACTTCCACACTGCTGCGGAATCGAATGATCCACAATTCGGGAATTTTTTCGCGTTTTCGTGGTGCCATTCCAAGTTCGAACCTTCGAAGTTCTTCGAGATGTTACAGCGAGCAAGGTTGTAACAACACACCTCCTACATCCAATCTATCCGCCCCAAGCAATGGTTGTTTCCGCTCAAAAAAGGTTTTGAATGGGTCCATGAATAGTATTTTGTACATCATGTGAAAAGACATCACTTGCCGCACGAAAGGGTTGCATAGTGTAGCGGTTAGCACACCAGACTTTGAAGCGTATTGCATCATGGAAAGCCATCTGGTAACCCGAGTTCAAATCTCGGTGCGACCTATGTAAGGATGCAGGCGGTGAAACCATAACAACGTTTTGACTGTTTTTGCTCGTGCATCCATCGTTGTTCATTTTTACCCTTTGGGGATGGACCCGAAAGGACGCCGGGAGTTGTACGGATTTGATTGAATAAAGGGATTTGCCGCCCATTCTTTATTTTGCAAGGGTGAGGAACAGTGGGAGTGGATTCATAACAAAAATAATGTATTGCACCATGTTGTGTACTGCGCCAAACACCCCTTTCATTCCCGTGAAACATTGCAAAGAACTTCTATTTTCCAGAGTGCCACCAGCGATCGAGTGAAACCTCATCCTCTGACCAGATCTTGCAATGCACCGACGACCGTCCGCCGAAGACGATGAAAGGTTGCTGCTCAACTTGCGCTGGCAAATGCCAATGAACGACGGAGATGCATAAAGTCGCGACAACACAAATTTGCCTAACCGGTTTGTTTCTTCGTTTCTGTCAATCGGCTGTAAGTTCGTGAACATTCCCCAACAAACTTTCCCCCCCGCTGAAATTCAACTATTGCGCCCTCCCCCACACCACCACCGACAAGTCAACCCCTGACAACAAATTCAGCCCAAGTCCACCATATATACCAAACACCAACGCTACATAAGTTACACACAATCTATCTATAACTATACAAAACGAAACCACCATTCCCTTCTTTCCAACCCACCAGCCTCAACAGCCACCTCAATAAATCTCATCAAACGGCGCCGTATCAGCAAAACAATCATGAAACACCGCCCGCACCGCATCCTCCGCAACCTGTTCGCCCTGACATTGCGGCAACTGCTTCAAATTGGAAATCGCGCGGCGTTTGACGCATGTCTGGTGGTGAAGAAACGTACAGTCAGTAAATTCCTGTCGGCGACAACCTCTCGAAATGACAACCCCACAAAAACCCCGCACCATCCCAAAAAAACGACCAAAAAAAAAAAAAAACTTCACACCAACGCATTCACAATCCTCACCTGCAAATGCCCCCTCCACCCCAAAATCCCCCTATTGACCTCCCTATCCCACTTACAATCCCCACTCAACGCCGCCGCCCTAATCTCACTACACGCATAATGCTCACACTTCCCCCAATCAACCTTCGTCGTACAATGATCATACGCATGCACAAGCTCATGTACCATCGTATCCTCCATCCTCTTCCGCGTCATCAAATGTCCCGCGCAAAGCACGACACCAAAGTCCGGTGCGAAGCCACCGCTCCGGTTTTCGGGGCAAGGGGAGCAGCGGAAGTGGGAGTCGGAGAGGGGGCAGCCACTTTTTTCGAGTTCGGAGAGCATGAAGCGGATTATGGGGCTGTTTTGGAGGAGGCGGGATTTCCATTTTTCGCATTTTGCGAGGGATTTTTGTTGGGCGGCTTTTTCGGTGTCGGTTAGGGAGCGGGAGAGGTGGATTACTTCTGGGGTGGTGAGGTCTGTTGGGGAGGTTTTGGATGATGGTGTGGATGATGATGGTGATGATGGTGATGATGATGCTGATGATGATGGAGAGGGATTTGAAGAGGATCCGGTCACTGCGCCGAATGCGGATCGCCAGCGGGAGAAAGTGCGTTCTTCTTCGGCGGACAATGCGACGACGTTGGGTGAGGTTGTGGAGGGTGTGGGAGTGGCATCTTTTGCCGACTTCGAGGAAGTTGAGGACAGTGAAGAAGAAGAAGGTGAAGAAGAGCTCTCGGATTCTGTCCAAACCGAAAAGGCATCCCGCCACCCTGAAAAGAATCGTTCTTCCTCTATTGACAAAGCTACCCCTTTCGATGCACCGGCATTGGCCGCCCGTTCCTCATCTTTCAATCTAGCCGCCTCTTCCCTCTGGAGCTTTACAGCCTCCCTCGATGACATAGCTGATTGTGACCGACCCGTCACGGCAGCAATGGAAGACATCCAGTGACCGAATGCACCTTGCTCCGGTACCGGCAAAGGCTCGTCTGGCACTGGCTGAACTGTACCCTTGGGGGCCGACGGCTTCGCACTTACTCCCTCCGTCTTCTCCTTGATCTCCCGCTTCAGTGTCTTGATCTGCTCCTGCAACTTGATCACCTGACCCTCCAAAATCTCCGCTCTGATATTCAGCCGTTTCCGATACTCCACATCAAACGCATTGAGATACGGTGTCGCCCATTCCGGCGGCTCCCCATAGTGCTCGTGAACCTTTTCTTTGACCCACACTGCAAAAACGTTCACCGGGTCCCACCATTTGCTCTTAGCTGGGTCCGGCTCTGTTCGTCCCACTTCCAGCCAGGCGTTTTCGTTCAACTGCTTCAGCTTGGTGTACCATGGAACCTTTTCTACCTCGACGCCCCCCGATTCCAGGAAGAAAGACTTGTTCAGACGATAGTGATGCCACGTGCTTACGCCGGCCTGGCCTATGGCGGCGATCAAACCGTACATCACAGCTCCGGCTGGCGTTGCGTATGGTCCTCCTATGCCATATCGAATGTGTCATGTAAAAATCAGAACACAATCCGATG